TACAGCCCCTGGCATGGAGTATTTCCACATTAAATGGCTGCTATTATAAAGATCATATTCTTAAGTGATAATAGGCCATGGTTTTCTTTTTATATCATTCTTACTTTTTGCTTCTGTGTATCTATGTTTCTTTTTGTATCTATTCTTATGTTTTTCTATTGTTTTTATCTATACCTTTCTTACCACATTTCCTTCTGAGGGTAATTTTAAGAAATATACCATACGTTTCAATACTCCAGGGTAATTTGTATAACATATTCTTCAAAGGCTTGGAGAAGAAAATCGCCTTATCTATCCATCTGGCCTGGGTTTGTTTTGGAGCGTGTGATTCTTTAATATTTTTCCTGTTTTCTTCTGTGTTTATTAGAACATGTTCAGATAATTCTGTCCAAGTGAAAGAAAAATCTCAATTTCAGAAGTTTTCTTTGCAACCTGAGAATTGTTGACCTATTTATTATCTCTGCTTGCAATGATTTCAGCACACAACTAGTTATTGGATTGCTTTATTACTCCTTCTGTAAGAAATATGGTCTGCATCATTTTACAGAGGGGTTATCTCAGAAGCTGACATTTATTTGATTGTCTAAACCTTTTTTAACGACTAGATTCTGCTGCGGTTTTTCCCCTGGTTATTTAATCAGAACCTTCATGGGAATCCCCAATTCCCAACTCTGAATGGAAAAAGACTTATCAGAAAAGGATGAATAATCAGTGTCTGTAGCTCTTCAACTACCCTTAAATAGCCAGAAGCTTCTGTATGGCAGGACCACAAATGTTGTGGGGCTGCAGGCTGTGGGACCATCACTGGGACACAGCAGAAGCAAACAGTATGATTTGCTAAGAATACTAGGTGAGGAGAATAACTCCACAGGTTCAAAAGAGGAGAAAGACCCTTTACATTTTTGTGCATCATTCGACCCTGCCTGCATGTCCAATAGTATCTGTTGACTTTTTAAAGACAGAATAATAAATGAGTTATGTGCCTTAGCAAAGGAATAAAAGCATAATTCTGATAGACTATACTGAGAGCTCAAAAACCCCTCAAAACCACTGTACACTAATACATAAGAGAGTTTCACTTTTTACTTATCCAGCATCTTTAAAAACACAGCAACATTTGTTTGGTTGTGGCTCACAATAATCCTTTTGTTACTAAACCATTACATACCTTTTAGAAGCCTTGCCTGTATCAAAGTTAATTATATTTATTGGAAGAACAGTCCACTTGAGAGGCTGCTCCATCCTAACCTACAGTCTTTGCTTTACATTTCTATGTGTAAGTGTCTGATTTGAGTGTGAAGACACAGGGAGAGCTTGGAGAGTATGTTCCCTGAGTGCGTTTAAATGTTTGCTTATCCGCCTCTTGGCTTGGGGAGAGAGACAGGACTGAAAATTTTAAATCTGAGTATTGTGAAGTACCGACTTTTGAAGATCCATTAGGACTAGTGGATCTGGCGCTAGCCCCAAATGCAATGGGAGAAGAGTAAGTAGCCAGAAACTGTAATGTACATACATCATTTTAAGAAGTCATCTAGTGAATCCATCAGTACACAACTTGATTTTTTCCTGGGTCATGCCCCCAATCATGCCTAAGGAGAAGAAAAGGAAATAAAATGTTGTCTAGCTCTACCCACTCTACTAAAGTGGAAAGTAATTCCAAGGTGAGTATACCCCAGAGAGCAAATGGGCTCTGTTAAAATGCTGGGGGGAGGAGACAGCAATTTCCTACCGCCTTGGAAAACACTCCCTAATGACCTGGAGGCATAGAAATTTGCGTAGCTTCATTTGGCATACCACCCTGGATAAAAGGGGACAGTTTATCAGGCTAAAATTTGTTTCTAGAATTTTATATAAATGGAATCATATTTTATATATTCATTTTTGTCTGTCTTCTTTTACTCAGAATAATTATTTAAGATTTACCCGTGTTCCATGTATCGTTTTTTTTACTGAAGAGTATTAGTCTACGATAAGGATATACAACAATTTCTTTATCCATTTGCCTACTAATGACGGATTTTTGAATCATTTTAAGTTCTTGGTTATTACAAGTAAAGCTGCTATGGAACTTCATTTAAAAAATAAAATTTGTTTATAAGGTTGCTCTCCTTTTCAGTGTGGAAAAGAGAGAATAATAGTTTCATTTGCAACTTTCACTGGTCAGAAATTTCCAGCAAGGGACAGTGTTGAAGCTATGCTCCCCCAAGAACTAGCAAATTCACCTCCTTATGACCTTAAATTTATGCTAAAACAATTATTTCAGCAATGCAATAAAAATAAAATCAAGCCAGTTTGTGTGGGATTAGGGAAACCCAGAGTGTCCCACAGGAGATGTGGTTTGCCGTGGTGGGCAGAGGTAAGAGAGCTGGTGTTGACCCAAGTTATGTTTAGTATAAAGACTCCTTTGTTGGCTCGCCATGATAACAGTTCCTCATTTGTTAGATCATTGGGTATAAAGTTATATAATTCAGCCTTGCCCTTCTCTGCAGCCTACTGTGCTAGCCAACACCTCCTACTTTTAGCTAAGGCAGTTCCTGGACTGCCAAAGCCACTTCCTATATGTCAGCCAATTTGACTTTTCGAGTAGTGCAGGTAATTTGGCAAGTTTGAAGGGAGGTGGGCAAAGGAAGTTAGGAATGAAAGCCTTTGTTTTCCCTCTTTTCAAATAACTAGAAACTCCTGCCTTCCGTTGGGCTTATGCACGGATTCTATCTACCTAGTATTACAAACCTAACAGACACTGTCGTTGCACATTGTCCTGATAACTTTGACAATGCTCGTCAGATGCCATGCGTGGGGAGTGGGGTGGTTCTCAATTCTTTTAAGGGCAGTTTGTGCCAGTGTTCTCCTTCCAATCATATGACCCTGCTCCTAATATCTCACGTTTAACAGAGATTGATTTCTTCCCTAATATTAGCGTGAGAACTCTATTTGGATCAGTCTGGCAGAATCTTTTTTAAAAATGTAATTAGCCTGAGAATTCACTCCACTCCTCAATCTGACTGCTGCTTAAATATCTCCCGTGATGTTTCTGCACTTTCTGCAGAACATGTAGAACTCTGTCCTGGGGTGAAGCAGTTCATTGCAGGAAAGCAGCCCATGAATCGCTATGAGCTTGTCACCGAGGATCCTGCATATGTGTGTGTTATCAACTACAATTGTCCTCCTGAAATTAAATAAAAGCATGCCTTTATTATTGTGGGGCGCCAATGAAGGGACAGCTGGTGTTCTTATTACACTCGCATTAAATCGAAACTTGTAATTTAGCTATCCAGATGTACATTTTTTTTCATCAAAATAAATAACTGCCTTTCCTTTGTCCATTTCTCATTCAAAAATATCTGGAGCCCTACCTTAGGGCTCCTGTGGCCCTGCAAACTCCGTTAGAGAAGGGGAACTATTTGGAGCGTTTCCCTTTCTGAGGTTCCTACAGGGGAATAAAGGATTTCCAGAAGGAAGGCAGCTGGTGAGTATTTTTCATTTTTAATTTATTTTTTGCCTTCAGTGGGCCGATACATTTATTGACTAAGGTCATTTTTGGACTGACCTATCCCACCTTACCTGCATCTGAAGCGTCTCTACCGGGACAGCTTTGAACCACACTGCATTTCTCATTGGCCCTTCAGTTCCCGCAGCTCTAGAAACTTTGCGGCCTCCCCCACTCCCCCCTCCCCTCCGGGGATGTGTGCAAGCTCTGTTTGTTCCCGCTTCTGTAAAACCTAAGCGTTATGATCTGCCCCCCCCCCCACCTTCCCCTTAATAATGAAATGACAAAAAGGCTTTGCAGCGGGGGCTGAGCTGCCGGGCTTGGGGGGAGAGAGGCGCCACACCCCCTGAGAATAAAGCCCGCGCTTCGCTCCCGGGGAACCGTGCACGAATAAACGAGCCACACAAAGAATATATTTGGCGACGAAACAGCGCCGTACAGGAAGAAAGTGCCCGCACCCGGAGCGCGACTTTTTGGCGCTCTCTGGGAGCAGCGAGAAGGAGGCGGAGGAC